TCATGACAGAGAAATATCTGGACAGGAAAGGCTTCTTGTTGCCATCCAAAACCCGAACATATGCTTTGACTGACTTGCCGATCTCCACCTGAAATGAATGTGTCGTCTGAATTTTATTTCTGATTTCAAAATCCTTTTATAAACAATTATAAAATGCACATGCATGGAATTTCGAAACGGATTTGTTTCCGTTTATTTATTTTAATATATTTTAACATATGAATGATTCAAGGTCTTTTTTTTTTTTTTTGATCGGATGTCACCAACCTTGTCGACCACACGCACATAAACCTCCAGAATATCAGAGATGTGAACCGTAGCCGTAGCAGGAGAAGGGAAGTTCAGACAAAGGTCATGAACCATCACCTGCAAGACCCCCGCCTGAGCCGGGACCACCTGAGTCACAACCAAATGAGATTACATTCAAACTAGCCCACAGAAGAAACCAGCTATTAACAACTAATATTGTGTAGTCAGCTGTAAGGCTCAACAGAAGTCATTGCAAGTAGCAGTAAGTGTAATATTTTTTTTTCTTTGTCATTTTAATACACCGATATCACAGACAGCAATCACCAGCCTTAACAATGACTGGACATACTAGAAAATGTGACTAATGTATGGATTTTTGAAATATTGTGTTGAAGTAATGCTCCAGGTTCAACATAAATTAAGCTTTATTGACAGATTCCAAAGAAAATAACTTTTATTTCTCAGTAAAAAAAAAATTATAATAAAAAAATAAGTAAAACAGACATGTCGGTGTAAAGTTCAATTGTCTGTCAAAGGAATAAATAATATGTTTAAGAATAAAGGAATAAAGAATACTTTACACAATATACTGTATTTAAATGTGAACTGAATGTAATGTTTTTGGACACCTAAAATTGAATATTTATTGCAATTAAATGAAACGGTATCATAGTGTAAATTTATATTAGAATCAAATTGTTGAACTTAAGAGTTTTTTTTTTATTCCACTATCGTTGAAATATGATTCAAATGTACTGACATTTGTACTGAACAAACATGTATGTTAAATAAAAATGTAATTTCTAATGAAACTTGTATGTCATGTATTTAAACCTATTTAAAATTAAACATTTGTAATGAAGTTGTAATTCAGTGCATTTGAAATATATTAAGTTTAACATAGAATAACACAATACACTTAAAATTAAGTAAAAAAATAAAAAGTACTTTTCATGTGATTTAATATGTTAGTCAACACATCGAAATAACTACTTTTTAAAGCACAAAAAAACATTATTGAAACAATGATTAAAAAAATAAAAGTAAAACTTAATTTGATATTATTACAAAGTAAATTTTTTCAGTAGACAAATTTTTTTCATTAATATTTAATTGCATGTAAAGTTTTTTTTAAATATAGTTCATTATTATTATTATAGTTCATTCACTACATTTAAACATTCGACTTTTTCAAAAGGGAAGGAATTGTTTGCATAAAGAAAAACCAGACAGAAAGTCTCACCTTAAAAGTTTTACTGACAAATTTGAACTTTCATTGTATTTTTCACAAAACGACAAGCTGAAATTTAAGCTGAACACTTCCAATACCTGGCTTGTACATGTTAGAATAAAACCATACATTTATTTTTCAAGTCTACTGTAAAAGTAAATCCTTTGCTGTACTCTAGAGCAGAGATGTATGGGCCTTCCACACTTGTTTAATGAGAATAGATTGAATAGATACAGGTCTATGATCCCCTAAACCCCTGGCAACACATGTGATTTGCTTTTCTTCCTAAAACAAGGTTGAAATTTGTACCACACCACTGGACAAAATGAGCTATTTCAGATCTTCTTCTTCATGCTATGCGGAAACAGTTTTTGTTGTAAACAACATGCCACAAATACCACTGACAGAGCTTATCTATTGAGCATTACCTGAGCGATTCCCTGGGACTCCTGGAACGTGACGTCTGCGATTCCCCCGACGCTCGCATTGACGTAGAAATACCCTGAGCCCTGCTGCAGAATCAGATCCGCCTGCAGAGGAGAAAACCCCAGCACCAGGTGTCACACACACACCAGACACACTCTTCCAGACCATCCAGAGCTATCAGGCATGTGTGTGAGCTTACCGTCACATCGGGATGGTTGTATATGGTAATGGTGTCAGGGGTCACCCTCACGTCCTCAACTAACAGCAGGTCAAGCGTGGCGGAGACGGGGCTCAGAGGATCAAACTAACTCACACGTGAACATTACACACATCAATCAGAGCTCAACTTCAGAATCAAGCTCAATAATGACTGAATATTAGGGATGTAACAATATCAAAATCTCACGATACGATAATATTGCGATATGAAGTCCACAATACGATATTTATTGCAATATTTAAAAATAAAAAGACAAATGAAGAAATTTATTTATTTTTTTTACAAGACAAATGAAGAATTGGAAAAAAATTATAAACTTTGTACATTTTAAAGTTGAATTATACTATATGATGCACTTTGAGAGTTCAAAATTAAGAGCTGCAACCCATGTTCTTAACTTTTCTTAAGTCAGAAAAAGGTCAGCGAATTAACTTGTACCTGAACTTTAAAGGGGACTCAACCCTCTTTTTATTTGTGATATACTGTCTCAGTCTAAATTACATTCACACTGGTGTTTTAGGGAGCCAAACAAATTAGAATATAATAACAACAATTTTATATTATTGTTATACCTATGATAGTAAAAGCCATATATTGTAAATCAATTGCACTGTAAAATAAATGAAAATGAATATTTCATAGGTATATTATTTTTGCTTTACACTACAGTAGGGAAATTACAATACTTTACTTCTTTCCTAATTTCTACACTTGAGCATCTCACTACAAATCTAGTGAAATGCTGTAATCATCTGCAGCGAAAATAAAGCCTAACTGATATGTTGCGTTCCCAAATGCTCGCTAAACTCACAGCACGTGAAATAAACGAGTTCACCGCGTTCATTCAGTGTGAATAGAGCCGTTCTGAGGCACGGAAAACATTGGATCACAATAAACGAGTTCACCGCGTTCATTCAGTGTGAACGGAGCCGTTCTGAGGCGCGGAAAACACCGGATCACAATAAACGAGTTCACCGCATTCATTCAGTGTGAACAGAGCCGTTCTGAGACACGGAAAACACCGGATCACAATAAACGAGTTCACCGCGTTCATTCAGTGTGAACGGAGCCGTTCTGAGACGTGGAAAACACCGGATCACAATAAACGAGTTTACCACATTCATTCAGTGTGAACGGAGCCGTTCTGAGGCGCGGAAAACACCGGATCACAATAAACGAGTTCACTGCATTCATTCAGTGTGAAAGGAGCCGATCTGAGGCACGGAAAACACCGGATCACAATCATTCAGTGAACGGAGCCGTTCTGAGGCGTGGAAAACACCGGATCACAATAAACGAGTTCACCGCATTCATTCAGTGTGAACGGAGCCGTTCTGAGGCACGGAAAACACCGGATCACGAGCTGATCGCCTGAAAGAAGTGTGCACTTCGCTTTGAAACATGCAGCAAAAACAGATTTGATGAAGGGATTAAGCCATATTGTGCTTTCGGTTTTAGTTCGTTTGGGTAATTTATGCTTTGGCACAGTATCTGTCAAAACACAACTTTAAAGACATTTTTATGTTAGAATAATAAGTTTAAATATTTTAAACACAAATTTTTTTTGCCTGGAAGACCTATCATTTCATATCGTCATGTGACCACAATGATATTGTTTTGCTATTGTGATACCACGGTATTGATAATATTTTTACATCCCTACTGAATATGTACAAATAAGAGGAATTATCCTCATAATTATTGTTAACTTGGCAACATGCTAATACGATTAGGACAAGAATAAGATTATATATGTGGCACTAATGTGTGCCCATAAAAAGGAGTTGCTGCCCATGAAGAGCCTTTCAAATTAACTTGAGGCTCAGTTAGAAAGTAGCTGGCAAGGTGTTTGAACAGCGGCATCATTTTGAGGTATCACCATTTCAGCTTCCTGTGTCGGTTAGTTTTGTTGTTGGCAACAGTAACTGTAGTGATGGTGTGGGCTGGCGTGTGGGGTTAGAGAGCATCGTCCTGCTGAGGAAACGAAACTACTTGAGTTCTCCAAAAACGGCAGTTCAGCCACTCCCTGAGCCTCAGGCGGTGTTCACGTTTGGTTCGATGCTTAATCTAAACCAAAGATTCATTGTACTAGACAAACCAACTAGTCAATTTCATGCAATTGGTTGCTGGCTGACTATTCTAGAGTCGTAATAGAGAATCGACTCCTAAAGAGTCAATTCTGGAACAGGAAGTGACTCCCATTGTTCACCCTGCTGCAGTGTCCAAAATTACTCATGTTCGCTCATTCAATACTGTACTATATCAGTTCAATAGTGCACCATAAAACTAGATCAGTTCAATAGTGAATTAGATCTAGTCAATAGAGCACCAGATGAGTCAAATAGCGAACTAGATAGGTTAAATAGCGCACCATATCAGTTCAATGGCGCACCAGATCAGTTCAACGGTGCACCGGATCAGTTCAACGGTGAACCGGATCAGTTCAACGGTGCACTGGATCAGTTCAACGGTGCACTAGATCAGTTCAACGGTGCACCATATCAGTTCAATAGTGAACTAGATCAGTTCAATAATAGCGCACCATATCAATTTAACAGCGCACCAGATCAGTTCAATAGCGAACTAGATCGGTTCAACAGCGAACTAGATCAGTTCAACGGTGCACCATATCAGTTCAATATTGAACAAGATCAGTTCAACGGTGAACTGGATCAGTTCAACTGTGCACTAGATCAGTTCAACGGTGCATTAGATCAGTTCAATGGTGCACCATATCAGTTCAATAGTGAACTAGATCAGTTCAACAGTGCACTAGATCAGTTCAATAATAGCGCACCATATCAATTTAATAGCGCACCAGATCAGTTCAATAGCGAACTAGATCAGTTCAACGGTGAACTAGATCAGTTCAACGGTGCACCAGATCAGTTTAATGGTGCACCATATCAGTTCAATATTGAACGAGATCAGTTCAACAGTGCACCATATCAGTTCAACAGTGCACCAGATCAGTTCAATATTGAACTGGATCAGTTCAACGGTGCACCGGATCAGTTCAATGGTGCACCATATCAGTTCAATATTGAACGAGATCAGTTCAACAGTGCACCATATCAGTTCAACAGTGCACCAGATCAGTTCAATATTGAACTGGATCAGTTCAACGGTGCACCGGATCAGTTCAATGGTGCACCATATCAGTTCAATATTGAACGAGATCAGTTCAACAGTGCACCATATCAGTTCAACAGTGCACTAGATCAGCTCAATATTGAACTGGATCAGTTCAACGGTGCACCGGATCAGTTCAATGGTGCACCATATCAGTTCAATATTGAACTAGATCAGTTCAACAGTGCACCATATCAGTTCAATATTGAACGAGATCAGTTCAACAGTGCACCATATCAGTTCAACAGTGCACCAGATCAGTTCAATATTGAACTGGATCAGTTCAACGGTGCACCGGATCAGATCAATGGTGCACCGGATCAGTTCAATTGTGAACAAGATCAGTTCAACAGTGCACTAGATCAGTTCAACCGTGCACTAGATCAGTTCAACTGTGAACAAGATCAGTTCAACAGTGCACTAGATCAGTTCAATAATAGCGCACCATATCAGTTCAATAGCGAACTAGATCAGTTCAACGGTGAACTAGATCAGTTCAACGGTGCACCAGATCAGTTTAATGGTACACCATATCAGTTCAGTATTGAACTAGATCAGTTCAACAGTGCACCATATCAGTTCAATATTGAACGAGATCAGTTCAACAGTGCACTAGATCAGCTCAACAGTGCACTGGATCAGTTCAATATTGAACTGGATCAGTTCAATGGTGCACCGGATCAGTTCAATGGTGCACCGGATCAGTTCAATGGTGAACTGGATCAGCTCAATGGTGAACTGGATCAGTTCAATGGTGAACAAGATCAGTTCAACGGTGCACTAGATCAGTTCAACAGTGCACTAGATCAGTTCAACTGTGAATAAGATCAGTTCAACTGTGAATAAGATCAGTTCAACAGTGCACTAGATCGGTTCAACAGTGCACTAGATCAGTTCAACAGTGCACTAGATCAGTTCAAGTGTGAACTAGATCAGTTCAATAGTGTACCATATCAGTTCAATAGTGAACTAGATCAGCCATGAGTGAACGATTTTGAACACTCAAATACTACTCCATGCGTCAGAGCTGGAGCTGTCGCAGAGACTTTACATTTTAATTATGCATACCTCAATGTCATATCAACATTATAAATATTCTTTAGGTTTGCCATGGTCATTCTAATTTTTAAAAAACGGCCAACAAAAATAAACACATTAATAAGTGTACACTATTGTTTGTTTTTTAGTATCTTGAACTCTGCTAACTCTAAAATAATATTCGACCAACTCGTTTGCTCATGACTTGTGATGGAATATAACACCTATTCCATTTTACTGCAGACTTGGTGGGGGTTTGAAAATCAATTTCATTAAAAAAAAAAATCTGAATTTGAGCCTGCACTAAACTATTGTGTAAACAGGCTGAGCTTTTCATGGGATACTAAAGATTAACTCACTCCACTCAGAACGGCTGCTGCCTCTAGATGGGACGTTTGATAGCCGACTGCGGTCACAGTGATGGCTGCCACGCCTGATTCACGATGGACGAGAACCGTCTGATGACCTGTGGAAAACATCACATGCATACATATGAGCATTAGGGCTGAGCGGTGTGATGGTATAAGATTGTGTGACAGTAGAAATGTGTGAACTACAATAAATATGCAGTTCAATTTAATTTCCATTTTTAAAGAACTTCATACACAATGGTCATGTATATATTAGTGCAGCAGGAGTCGCATGAAGAGAGTGAGAGCGCTTCAGGTGTATAGCCTGGTTTATACTCGCAGCGTAAAATGTAAATGACGCGAATACTGACAAGACAATGGCAGAGGATTCGGTTTCCAAGCAAAAAGTAAGTGCCTGTTTGGCGATATTTTGATATTAAAAGATCACTTCTTAAACCAGAGAAGGTGAATATGATGGTTTTCTTTGGCAAAAAAATTAATAAATAAATAAACGATGCAAGCACTGTCACCACATACAGTTTAGTTTTAATTTTCTTTTTGTTTTCATTTTGAAAAGCCTGTTGACTTTTGCTATTTACATGATGTTACACTACATTGTGTACACAGTGTTTGCTAAACTTTCTGTAATTTATTAGTCAATATATAATACAGCATGTGGTGTGTGCCATGCCTCGTCTTATTCGTTTTTGTTAATAAACATTATAAGCTAGTTTGTCATTGTAATGTTGTATTGCTGTGCTTTTCATTTAGAATAATAACGAATCCATCTTTCAAGTATTTGTTTTAGTCAGTGAAAGGTGCGTAAATGTAAGTGCAACAGACAATTATGTTTTCTTGTAAAATGTGACACCAAGATCACAAATTCAAAAGTGAAAGTGAAAGAGCCCAAAGCCCCTGGTGTTACCAGTAATACTGGTTTTGTCACAAGTTTAAAATTTCCTCACCGTGACATCCCTAATTGTGATATATGCTGTTATGCGATACACTGTTAAAAGTAATATGATTTTTTCATACCATCTATTCCTAATACATACTTATATTTCATAATTCTCAATGGTCTGAAGTAATCAGTGTGAGGTACCGTGGAGTTTTTGCTGTTTGTTGTCGTCCTCATGTATGTGTAGCTGCATGGGCATGGTTGGTTCGATGCTCGCCAGGGAAACTTTGGAGGACTCCCAGATCACACTCAAAGAGCTGAAGTTATCAAACTTCCTGCCCTGCTGGTCAAAGGCCGCCACATCCAGCTCTGGGTTGTGATAATTGGAAACAGGCACCTACAGAACAAGCACAAACGCTCCTGAACTTCCTGTCATAATAAGACTACATCTATATGTCTGAGAGTTTGAGCGCTTACCACTTGTTTGTTCTGCTGCAGCAGAGGGCAGGACACATCCAGCTGAGGGTTCAGGTAGATGGGCGTCAGTGTGAGACGTGACGGAGGTGCGCACACAAACTTCACCACAGCCGGCTCCACAGCAGGGAAGGGGTTCGTCACGGTGGGCTGGTTTCCAACCGTCACTGCTAAGACCTGCGAAGCCACAATTATTTGAGTATTTCAAGCATATCAGTCAACATTCCTAGAGGATAGTAGTGTTCATTCATTTCGTTAAAGTGCCCCTATTATAGATTTTTGAAAATGACCTTTCATGCAGTGTGTAACACAGCTCTAAGTGAATGAAAACATCCTGCAAAGTTTTAAATCTGAAAGTGCACCGTGTATAAAGTTATTGTCTCTCAAAAGAAAGAGTCGACTCTGAATCATTGAAACGAGTCGTTTTTAAAACGAATACGAAACGAGCTTTTTTCCCCCATGACTAAAACGAGACGATGACAAGACGACAATAAGGTCAATAAACGATTACAGTGACTATATCAACATGCAATATCGTTGATGATAAAAGACAAGACTAAAATGCATTTTTAAAAAATTTAAACTTTACCCAAATCTCTTTTTATTTTAATAAGAAAAAAAAGAGACGACAAAATGTTATTGCGGACTGCTGTACATGCCTCTACTACGTAAGCTTTCATGTGTGCGGTTGCCAGATATCAAGAGTTCAAGTCCCCAAATCAGAGCTTCTCTGTTAAAAGGATACATTTTCTGCCCGGTGTTTTGTTAAGGATATTAGCCATCTCCATGCGAGATGTTCGGATTAAATGAAAGTGTAATTCAGCCAGTCTGTGTTTGTTCTGTCATGAGATCTCGACTATATTGTTTGCGATTGTGGTTGCTGAATAAATGCACTTACTCAACCGCTGTTGTTTTAATAGAGGAACATTATTGCAATTTGGAGTTATTGGAATTAATATTAGGAATTTCACTGTTACATTTTTTTTAACCAGTATTCATAATGTAGACAGAGAGAGTGCATAGACTAAGGCTTTGATATTAATATATATAATAAATAGCTCATCATAAAATCAGTACAATAGGTAAGGTAAATAAACCATGTGTACGAGTTGACAATCTATTGATTTGTGCTGACTGGTGAAAGTGCAATACCTGAAATGCAAAAATTAATTTCTCAAATGGCAACATTATGATTATAATTTTGAGCAAAAATAATTTTTATCAGTTTTACCATTATACAGCATGACGAAAATGTGACTAAGTTTTCATTGACTAATCATAGTCGACCAAAACTTGACTAAACAAAAACAGGACAAGGTTGACTAAATATGACAATAATTAAAAATTCGACACAGGACTAAGACTACTAATTTAAAAGACTAAAGCTGTGTCCCAAATGATGCACTATATACTATGCACTCATACACTATGTACTTATGCACTATGTACTCAACCATGTAATAGTATGAATTATATAAGGTTATTCTGTCATTCATAATCGGAATCTGATAGCCCCTCCCCCTTCACTACGTAATTAAAGCTGCAACAGTTGAGTGCATGAAGTATCCAACATCCCACACTTCCTCTTTGGTTATTTAAGTGCATCATCCGGGTATTTAAAGTGCACTTTTTCTTTTTGGAATTTTCAGTGTGAACACACTACTCGCACTATTTATACTACAAAACGTCATAGAATAGTGCATAAGTATGTGATTTGGGACACACCTTAAGACTAAATGAAAAATGGCTGACAAAATGAACACTAGTGGCTAGTCCACAGGATATGACATCACAGGCTCCTCTGACCTGTTCTCCCAGAGCTCTGCATGTGGCTCTGACCAAATGTCTGGAGTATGTACGCGAGGCGGGTCCGTACAGAGACAGCGCGACGCTGCTGTGGTCCTCAGCCGTCAGGTTTCTGAAGAACTTGGAGGGCTCTAGGATCCAGGGCCGGGGGCCTCCTTCAAACGTCATGTCTTTAGAGGAGCCTAACGTCACCACTGCCACAGACACGGGGTCAATCGGCTGTCAAAGAAAACATGCATGGCAATCAAATCACTGCTCGTGATAACGATGCCCACTGATCCTCCTCCAGTTTCAGAGCACAGCGTATTAAAACACTCACCCTGAGAGGGGGGTAGGCAGCAATGGTGATCTTTGCGCTGAGGTGAACATTACTATGGGTGTAGCTAACCAATAGGTTGGTGTAACCAGGGGTCAAGGCCTTAACTCTGACCCCGCTGCAGTGGCCCTGACCTGGGGGAAGTCGACCTGAAGACACACAAATGCTCAAAATACTACAACTATACACAGACTTCAAAATGAATTACATGACATTGTTAAATCTGCAAACAAACATTGAAATCAGTCACACTCTGAACACTGAGTTTTTTCCCCGCAGGCTATATTCAGCCTGAACAATTAATCTTTCATAATTATACATCGTCCATCACAACTATGTAACGAATCAGCTCATGGGAAATATGAATAATTAATCATAACTAGTTATAATTAATTAAATAACATATCTGCACACTAATAACATATTTGTGCATTCATCTAAACAATTACATTTTCCCTATACTTCTATTTCTGTATATAGTACATTATTTAATGTTTTTTTTTTTATTAGTTTTATATTACATCCCTACTGTGTTATCCCTATGTATGTCTGCACTATGTTTGTACTTTCTTCTGCACTGGAAGCTCCTGTCGTCAAGTCAAATTCCTTGTGTGTGTAAACATACTTGGTAATAAAGCTCTTCTGATTCTGATTCTGAAACCAAGTCCGAACAGCTTGTGAGACATTTGCCATGTTCATATTTCACGATGAATTACACACTCAGTCTGTTATTCGTTTTCACACATGATGACTTAACTAAGCAGTGGTGCCCAATCCTGTTCCCGAAGATCCACCTTCCTGCAGAGTTCAATGCCAACTGTGACCTGTCTGTAATTATCAAATGCTACCGATTTCTTAATTCAGAGATGGTCCTGTTATTGGGAGACACCTAGGGCTCTACCATTAAAGAAAGCTTAAAAAATCCAATTGTGATTTTTCTGGTACAAATCGTAATTGCAAGCATTAAACCATCAGACTTTTATTTTGACAGAAAACCACAGGAAGCCCTTTAAGCTTTAAGCTAAGACAAGCACTTCTCATTACAAGTATGGGAAGATGGTTGACACACATTGCATTTCCAAATGAACATAAGTGACCCAAATTAGGAGCAGATGCTTTCCATAACAGGGATGCAAACTCATCAGGGGTGAAAAAGTTGACAAAGATGCGCACCCCTTCGGCTCTCATTGTCTCTGAGAGAATATGCGCCGTTAATGCAGCGTCAGATTTTTTTTACTTTCACTTTCTGCATAGTGAATTGACTGACGTTCACCGGCGTGACTCTTGCACACAGTTTGCACGTTGTTTGTGTGATATCCATTGGCTCGCCTTCATGGTTTAAAACTGAAATATTTCCAATACTGCGACACAGTACATCGTGTATGCTTTCTTTTCATTTTGTTATAATGGGAAGATCTGCGAATGTGTATAACTACGTAAACTTGCGAAGCCAGAGCGCGTGCGCACACACACACACACACACACACAAATAACAAGCAGGACCGTTTGATAGCGGGTGAGTTAGAGCGGGTACAGAATTGAGATGAGAAAGGACCACCCGCCCCCACCCCCAACCCCCAAATTTAAAAACTCACCGGATCTACACGAATCACACAAATGACCCATTTTGAATTCAAAATGGCAAATTTCGCGGAAAGGTGACAAGTTTGCATCCCTGCATAATACGACCATAAGACTTTCGATCATCTTCGGAACACAAATAAACACATTTTCAATTAAATCTGAGAGATTTCTGTCCCTCCATTGACAGTTTACACAAATACCACTTCAAAAATTAATAAAGAGATTGTAAAACTAATCCATATGAATTGTGCTGTTTAGTCTAAATTTTCTGAAGAGACTCAATTGTTTTATGAACAGATTTAATTTAGGCTTTTATTCACATTGATCAGGAAACATAAACAGAAGCTCAACCATACTTGCTCGACTCGTAATAAAAAATCTCATAGGTTGAGCTTCCAATTGCTATAACCAGTGTGTGCGTTGATGAAGGTTTATATCTGAATAAAAGCCTAAATTAAAACTGTTCATAAAGCGATTTGGACTAAACTGCACAACCCATATGGTGTCAAAGTGGCAGTTGTGTAGACTGTCAATGGAGGAACAGAAATCTCTCAGATTTAATTACAAATATCTTCATTTGTGTTCTGAAGAGGAACGAGAGTCTTACGGGTTTGGAATGACATGTAGGTGAGTAAAGGATGACAGAATTTTAATTTTTGCGTGAATGAACCCTTTAATATTTGTCTGTTACTCTACTAACAGGCTTCCTTCGGTCAGCGCTATTTCGACAGCCCTCCTAACTGTACTTTTGCTCTATGGAAGCTCATCTTCAAAATCTTAAACCTTAACCTAAAATCCACTTATCTAGCATCAACTCAGCTCACCCTCCAGCAGCTGAAAGACGCCGTGACTCTCCATGTCCACCTGCATGTCAAAGTGAGAGCAGTCACTGAGGGTCACTCTCTCTCCGGCCAGCTGACCGAAGATTCGCAGCGGCAGGTCCAGACTCAAGCCCTCGCAGGCCTCCACCACACACGGGCTGAACTCCATCCCCACCGGCTCGATCACATACACCTGCAGCAGCAGCTCACAGCGGGTTAGCTCAACATTTACACTACACTCGCTCGGTCAATCCTGGAATATTCAATCCATAACAGGTATTTAAAACAATCCTCATTCGTGAGCCTGGACCACAAAACCAGTCATAAGGGGTCAATTTTGGGAAATTGAGATTTATACATCATCTGAAAGCTGAATAAATGTTTGTACATACATTGATGTATGGTTTGTTAGGATAGGACAATATTTGGCCGAGATACAACGGCCCATACAATGTATTTTTGGCTATTGCTTCAAATATACCTGTACTACTTATGACAAGGGTTGCAAAAAGGTGGAAAATTTCCATAAAATTTCGGAAACATTCCAGAAATTTGGGAAACTTTCCAGGATGTTTTGGAATATTCCAGGGATTTTTGGAAAGTTTCCGGAAATTTACTGGAAAATTTCCACCCCTTTGCAACCCTACTTATGACTGGTTTTGTGCTCCAGGGTCACACTTGTACGAGCACGATTGCTGGCATCACCTTCATGTCTCCGTAGTGCAGCGGGTTTCTCATGTCATGGGCGTAAATCACACTGACTCCAACATCTCTGACCGTGGTCATCACGCCTCTCACTGTGACTGTGGCGACTGCTGAGTTAGTGGACGACCAGCTGAAGTTGCCACTTCCCCCAGTCGCCTGAAACAGAGGCAACATCACAATAACGTACAGATCCAACCACACGCGGAAAAATAGATTCAAACTTTATTTCCTCTCATGTAGGGCCCTGTGATGCGGAAAACGCGGACGGAATCCAGTCATAAAAATGGAATTTACTGTATAACGTGGAAAGTCACGGAATTTGCCAAATTTTGGATGAATAAATCAAAAGTAGGTCAATATGCTTAAATCTATGCGATATGGACTAGTGTCTGTGAATATTAAGCCCAAAAAAAACGTTTTAAATATAAACCCTGCATGTTCTGCGCATCTCTTTGTGAATGTTTCCTTTACTACACACACACTGAAGCACGGGACGCTCGCTTGTGTTTTCAGCCTCTATATACTCAATATAAGAGCACCTGAACACAAACAATCTCTAGAACTGCTCTGAGAGTCACTTCATCAGCATTTGACCATTTCTTTTGAGTAAAACTATCGTCATATCATAAACAGAAACCTAAAGATCTTCACAGCAACCCGTCAAAATACAGGCTCGCTATAACTTGAAGAAACAGTGACCGAAATTACTTAATATAATGATAGTACTACTACTACCAAGGTTATTATAGTTTTGAATTTTTAAATTCGTTTTATTTTAATATAGTTTTCAAATTTGCTATAAAATTCTGTTTCGTTTTTATTAGTTTCATTCATATTTTTGTTAGTTTTAGTTTAGTTTTTATTTTGTGAACGTATTTTTATTTAGTTTTTATATAGTTTAGTTTCAGTTTTAATTAAAGTTCAGCAGAATTAACAGATCACTTCCAGAGCACAGGCCAAAGAAAGAGGTAGGCATAATTTAACCTTTGTGAGGCAAACATATAGCGACACAAAATTAACGCATGCTGAGATTGATTAGATAGTAAAAGTATACAAATATACGCCAAAGAAAGCAGGCAAGCCTTTTTTTTTTACTAAATTAATCTACACAAGTCACGCTTAATGTCATATCCAATGATGTGTGTTGAGATATTTAGTATGAAAATAAATGTAGCCTGATTTGGTTATATGTCTTTTCTTATTTAACCATAATCATGATATTGTAACTGATGCACGGCTGTTCACGGAAAAGTGAGCAAGACACCACAATCAAAACTGGGACTAATGAAATTCAATAATAACGGCAATCGCATTTAACAGTAAAGGCTTATATTTGAATGTTCTTTTCATTCATGAAGAATTATAAGCGTGTGTATGATGTGATTTAGCCAATGCACATTTGTTCAAAAGCCTGGCAGAGTAATCACAAGATGCTTGGCTAAAGTTTTGTGTTGTTTACAGAAAGGATGCGCATTCTCATCTTTTTTTCTGTTAATTATCATGTTGCTTTTCAATAACTGTTGTTAGTTTAGTTTCGTTTTAGTTTTTCAATTATTTCGACATTTTTATTTTATTTCAGTTTACGAAATTGTTTTTCCATCAATCGTTTTAGTCTTAGTTTTAGTTTTCGTTTACGAAAATAACCTTGACTACTACTAATAAAAATTATTATTAAAACATACTTCATAGGGCCTTAAAAATTAAATTTTTGTTAAACTTTTAATAAATTGCCATTTTATATTGTAAGTTTCATGACTTTAATTAATTAGACATGCTTTTTGATGAATAAAATTGTATCTAACCAGTAAAACAGTCTAGAAAAAAAACGGAAAAAAACTGAATTCAGAAAAATTTTTACAGACAAAAATGGAATTTGGAACAATTTAAACTGTAAAAAAAAAAAAGGAAAATCATGAAACTGATTTCATAGGGTCCTACTCATGCAATTAGACGTTAATGTCTGATGAAAGAAAGGAACCCGGTCAGACACCTTGATGGTGTACTGGTACGCTCCCTCTTTAGGCTGCCATGGGAATGTGAGGATGGCGGGAGCGAGGACGATGGGGTCGTAGATCTCCACATCCTGCTCATTACGCACAGGAACAGAGAGCGCGTGGACACTTCCTGTCTGAAGACACAAATGAGGTTACAATGAACTACATCAGCGTCAGCTAATGTCTTCAACAGGAGACAAAGACCTACTTGATCAACAACCGCTTCCAGCGTGCCATCAATGATGGTCTGACCGCGCTTCAAAGCTTTCACATGGTGATAAGATCCATTAACAGACGAGTCCAGAACCTCAAAGTACTCTGTAGGGAACGTGGTTTCTATACGGATATTCTGTGAAAACATGAATGCTTAATAATTTTAAAAAACTACCACAAGATGGGAATTTCTTTCCCGCTAAAGGGTTAATGGTTTGACATATTGCATATTTGAATGAAATGTTTATTGAAATATTTTACCCCTTTTATTTCCTACCCATGATAAACTGCACTGTAGGAGCCTTTGAGCTCCTGTATGCTTCTTTATATTGCCAATGGATAGTCAAAAATGATGAGAGAATTTTATTCAATATCTTCATCATGAGGATGGGTAAATGAAGACAAAAGTTTCATTTTTGGTGAACTAACCCTTTAATTTAACTAGTGACTAACTTTTCAGATACCTCTCCACTAATAACGAAATGAGAAGAGGATTAATTTAATTTCACGACATTGAAAATAATCCAAACCAAAGACATTTTAAACATGCATCCAAACTTGACTTACATCAGACAGGTAAATCTTGTGACCTGACTTATCAAACACTTCAATGAAGATCTCATATTTCCTCCCCGTCTCAAGGACCCAGCGATCCTCAGGATGAATCTTGAATGCTAGTCGACATGACAACAAAATAGCCTTTCATTACACTATTTCAATCAATTGCACTCAAAAGTGTTATTCATTTACTCGTTACTAAGACTGCAAGTTGTCAATAATAAGATAACAAATCATGCAAAGCTAGTGAAGAGACAAACCCAAGTATCCAGGCTCCACGACATAGATGGTGCTGTTGGGAAGTCGGGAAGCGCCCTGCATCCCCAGACCTTGACATTCAGAATGAAGGAAACCTCAGAATAAAGTTATCAAAGCGACTGATGCAAATAAACATCCCATGCTACAGAAACAGCCCTCTCTTTATGAAAGACTGCTGTTGTTGAGTGGAATCTCAGAACGTTACTGAAGCTGGGAACTGTCAGTAAGTTTGATGCTGGTGTGAAGGATACTCTTGTGGTCCAGCACGATGTTGGTGTGTCCCTGCTGAAGGGCAAACACGGTCGAGCTGCTCCGGTCCAGGTTTGCCACAGGGGCATCTGGGTTTCCGTGAGGGGCCACCACCCTGTTCTGAAGGAGAAGCTCATACTGATCGCAGGGCATGGACAGCTCTGAAAGAGAGGAGGACACGCTCAGAAACAGACAAAGCATGTCCACTGCAATAAGAGCCAACATGGCCAACCCAAAAAAGACGTTTGGGTCCATTCGCTTTTTTCCCCCCGATATTTAAATCAAAACTAGGGCTGCCCCCTAATAGTCGACCAACATTTTATAAGTCGCAGAAAAAAATAAATAAATAAAAATCCACATTGGCGAAGTCACGCAGATCGCTAACGGCTGGTCTATGTGATAATACATTGGACAGGACATCCAAACGCTCGCCTATCAAATGCTCACTTGCACTTAAAATACTCCGCCATTTTTGATCATACAGATAAGAGTAATACATGTTTCGAGTCTGTAAAGACTCTACGTTTATTTGTGTGCACTCACAATAACAACAAAACATTGTGCTTTTGAAAAATAATGAAAGCAAACAGGATGCTCTTTCTGCCGTCTCGGTCTCTGTGAACTTGATGCATACAGGCGCAGCAGTACTGCGGAGATGACGAGTCAGTGTCGCAGGCTTCATCTCTTAAACCGAGAACAAAGACAGCACTAGTTTATCTATTAATTATTAAAATGTTAATGCAGTCTCCTTACTGTTTTTCACTGACACATTCATAATCATTACTTCTGCCGGTGCGCTGCGGCAAGCCTTATGCGTGTACTTGAGCGTTTATTAGGCTATGTAGGCTATTAAAGGCTCATTATTATGATTTAAATGGTTTATTAATAAACGTGCGATTAGTCGACTAATGCTTCAAATGAACGACTACTAGTTGACCAGACAAATCCTTAGTCGAGGACAGCCCTAATTAAAACAATATCAAATGTTTTGATAATCTAGAGCAAGGGTGTCCAATCCAGCTCCTGAAGTTCCACACTCATAGTGTTTAAATGGCACTAGTTCAATAGAGCAGCTTTCATTTAAATCAGTTTAGACCCTTTTATTCATTTTATTTTGAAAATCTTTTTAAGCAATGGATTACAGCCTCTTTAGTTCATTAATTTTGGCTAATAATATAAAACACACAGCAATAACGAATAAAGAAAATTATTTATTGCTGAATTAGTGCAAGTTCACCTGTAATCTTTCCTTGCCGAATTTTCTGGACTTTGTATTGGATGGAGGTGCCAGCAAGCAGATAAACGTCATATGCAGGACTCAGAAGGATGTTTTCCAGAATCAGCAATCTGACTTCAGCAGCACCAACATCCTGAAAAACAGTTAGAAGAGTCGACCAAAAGAAAAACACCTTCAACAGAACTTACACTAACATATTCATATCTATGCTATAATATGGACAAAAATCTATTCGTATGACGTGTAAAAGCAATCACAAAAGTGACACACACCTTGTAGATTGCTTCTTGTATTTTGGCTTTGAGTTTGGCATGGCCGGTTTTGATTCCTGAAACTAGGATGGTATCTCCCTGATGTCCCACTCGCTCCATCTCAGAAATATACGCAGGAGGAGTGTAGGCCGACTCCGCAAACCTCAGCACCCTGCAGACAGACAGCTCAACATTACACCAGCATTCACGCTTGTTACAACAGAACATAGGCATAGCAGATGCTATATAAAACTAAAAACAAGGACGTGAAGGACAGCTGGACTGTCTAATTTTCAGGGGTTTATTTGTCACCAGGAATGGTTTTTTGGAAAAGATAGTTCACCCCAAAATCTGAATTCATCATTTACTCACCCTCATGTCTTTCCAAACCCGCATGACTTCCTTTCTTCCATTCATAAAAAGATGATATTTTGAAAAATCTTGTTTTGGACTCCACTGAATTCCATTTTGTGGACAAAACGGTTGAAACATTCTTCAAAATATCTCCTTTTGGGTTCTACAAAACAAAGTCTTAGAACTTTGGAATCAAACGAGGATGATTAAATGACAGAATTTGTATTTTTGGGTGCACTACCCCTTTTAAACATGGTGTCTAGCCCAGCTAAATGATAAAAACCCTTTGGCGTTTACACTGAAATCCAGATTAATTTCATCTCCATAGGCTGAAAAACATAACGTGTTTATGAATATTCAATTGTAAATAGTCAATCATGAGGAAACTGGAAAAAAGCAGGATCATCAAAGCAAAAGCCTCATTTGGTCATCATTTGACAGGTGTGCTCTTACCGCAGGGTGTTGTAGGAGTCGGGGAAGCCTGCCATCTCAGCGTCCTTCACTACAGTCCACTCAAACAGCAGACTGGCAAGAGTACTGAAGGTGTTTCCTGAAGACAGGAGGAGCAATACTTGACCCAGACGGCACATGAACGACATGACACAATCCTTCATCACTGCCAGAGTTATCCAGGAAGCCTAAATCAGTTTCATGTGTGCAGCGTGCAAGCAGAGATAACAACGATGCACGTGGTAACTTATATCTTATAATGCTTAATGGCAAACACTGTGTTCCTTTAAAGAAAAAATATAAATAAGATTTAGTTTCCAGATCTAATTAAATTCCACGTTTTTAGAAATACACTCTTGTGCTAATGTTTTCAACGTTAATCACTTGTGCTAATGTGCTAATGGTTTAAGTTTAATCATAAAAAAATCATGTGAGTGTACGCACCTTAATATATAAATATATATATAAACCTCAACAAACCCAGTTTTGTCATTAAAAAAAGAAAATGATCCGATACTTTAAGTAATGTATTGTCCATGACAGAGAGTATATAAATAATAAAATATTATTCCAAACAATGTATTTTGTAAATTGTTTTCAAATAATGCTTTTTCCCCATTATGATTTAAAAAATCCTGCCCAAAAAACTACATCAAAATGAATTTTAATTTAAGACATTTAATGCATGCTAATCATAGAATTTGTTTACATGTATTTTTAAATAAATAAAAACACCACAAAAAAAAACCGCAGATCTTAAATGGCATGTTAGTTTGTAATCAACTTGTTTATATCATTAGCTTTTATTTGGATGAATACAAACGATAACTAGATGCTTCATTTTAAGGTTTGATCTGAGGAAAGAACTTTTGAAGAATGCAACACCATTCATCAGATAAAGCCACTGCGGAGCATGAATACAGCGCACAGGTGAACTGAACAGAAGCATTCACTTTCTGATATGCTTTCACATTCTCCATTTCATTAGAAAATAATGCAGATATGGTATAACACAACAAAATTATTTCCTTACAGATGTAAAGTCACAATGACGTTATAAATCAAAGTACTGTTTTTGGTCAGTGGCGATACAAGCTAAACCCCAATGAAAGTGAGCGGATCTGAACGTGCATCACCCTCTGAATCCAGCGCATGGATCTTCAGCTCCAGCGGCGAATCCTCCAGATGAAGCTCTCGCGTGGTGGACTCGATCTGGGTGGGGCCGATACCGATATTAGGGAGTAAAAAAAGCTGATATCGATATATCGGCCGATATTCTTTGTGTATATTATAGTGCAGTACCAGGCAAAAGTTTGGACACTTTCCCATTCGTGTGTCCAAACATTTGACTGGTACTATATATAGAATACAGTAT